TGTGAATATGACTGAAAATTTTCATTTTTTCTGAAAAGGTGGTGTCTATTTACTTGTGACCACGCTGTATACAAAGCTATAAGGATAGAATACAAAGCGTTTGACATGCGTTCATAGGGGCAACAGCCTTCAAAGATTTCTTGCTGAGGTTCTTCGTGTGAGCTAAGAACAAGGGTTTTTCTATGTGGATATTCTGTTATTAGATAAACAAACATGATTCTCTGTTGTGATAACAATCACATTTTATTAGATTTTTTTCATATGAATATTTATTAAGAAATAATTATGTAACATTTTGAAAAGATTCTACGTGAAAAAACAAAACAAACAAGATTACCTTGGTTTATAATTTGTATATTTAAGGCCAAGGAAGAAGTTTGAGACAATTAATTATAGAGAGCACCTATTACACTGATCCTACTACTTCTTAAGTTCCGTAGTAAACAGTTGAAACTCCTTTGAAGGCTTTGAAGAAAATTGAATTCCGTTAGGATAAAACAACAGCGCTAATCAGCATAGAGGAAAAAAAATAAAGCCTTGTCCATAATGATCAGCTCCAAAATGGTAATTTCGTTGTGAATTTTAAATGTTCATGAAAACTATATTTTGTCAACTAAGTCCCCCCCCCAAAAAAAAATAAGCTTTTCCAAATTGACATTATAATATTTCAATACAATACAGCTCTTTTCTTTTAATCTTTCTAGCCAAAGATATCGACGCATTTCGTAAACTGTTACACGGGGTAGGCCGAATAGTAGTTATCGTTATCAACAGATACAATTATGAAAAACAGGTGGTCGAACTGTGTCATGCAGCCGTTCAAAACAAGTATAATTTACTAAGTATGTTTATATGTGTGTATTATTAGCTCTCATGATGTGTTCTATTGTCTCATATAAGTACAGTAGATGCAATGAGATCTATCAATTGAATTTTATTTTGGTACACCCTGTATTTGAAATAGGAAATAGGATCTGTATAAAAATGAATATTTTATAAATCACTGTATAATATATATTTACTTCCCCAGTTCTAAGAATGAAACACTCCCTATGCATTGTTAAAATATGTATATCTATATTAGTTGTATAACAACCCTACATAGAATTGTTTCAATTTTTATTACAACATGGATGATATGCATCGCCATTTTACAGGAACTGGCAAAATAATGTTTAAATAAAAGGGATTTTTAGGGAAAACACTACATTATATAATATATCTACACGTCTATGTGATAACACACGCGTCACGAGGCACACGATACGACTGAGAAATAGGGACGTTAACACAGCAAGGGTAGTTTTAAATATGCTCTAAAAGGGGAATGCTTGAACAGTTACCGTGATATAGGAGGTGTAATATATTCTAAAGTGTGTGATGTTACATAAAACTTTGCCTGAAAGGAGATCACGATCAATTATTCTTAGGTCATGTAAAAAAGCCATTGAAAATTTATAGGCGTTCTATAAAGTTAGAATTTTAGTAAAGAAGAGTAAATTGAGACTGAACTGGCTTCGAATCATTGACTCTACCTCTTGAGCAGTTGCTTTAGCGAACCCATCTACCGATTCTCGAATCCCGCCATTCTACGTTTTTTTTTATTTCTGAGGCTACTGAAGACTGTGTTTAACATTTCATACAAAAGTCTGTATTCAGAACCAGCAAAAAATATCGTATGATAAAATTATAGGGTTCACACTGGCTTAAAAAGACAAGAAAAGAAACTCCTCGAACAAGGAAATCTGTAACTGAAATACTGAAAGGATTGTAAATAAATATATAAAAAAGACGCCTGGGGCTTGAGTCAAAATGCCATGACAACAGTGATTATAAGTGATTATTGTTCCACAACAAGATTAATATATTTACGTTTTTTGATAAGATTAAAATAACTCCACATTTACTTTTTTTTAAGTTTTCACATGGTAGAAGTGGTTACAGTGTAAAAATTAAACAACAGATAAAAAGATTTATTACAGCAGTGGTTGAAGATGTAAAGAATATGGCTATTGCATGACAACTTTACTGAAAACGCGAGGTTGATATAAAATACATAGAATTTTGAATTATACTATAATCACTCAGAATTTATTTTGACACCCCAGCCAAACTTTACTTGAAACTTTGAAACCCCGGATGCAAAGTGTGAAAAAGATCGCTCTATTTTTGTTTTGTTCTTTCACATAAACGAAGAGCTCAGCGAGTTCCAAATGTAGTAATTCCAAATAAGAATACATTGAAAAAGACATGGTATATCTTAAACCATTTATACAGATGAAAGTGGTTACAACGAAATACCCTAACGTTTCCAACATACCACATAAGAAACAAGAACAGAGTACCACTGAACGACGAAATACGCGAATTCTCTATAAAGGTCAGACATTCTTCCTTCAAGTGAGAACATCTAGGACTTAGCACTGGAAGAAAATGTCACATTCTGTAAACTGAGCACCTGTTGGTTCCAAGCCTAAACTACACTTCTGAATCGAAGAGTTACACCAGATCGTTACAGTTTCAACTCTGCAAGAATGTGTATGCAACCTGCAATCAGTTATTCTATTATATCACACCGTGGGTGTGGGAAAAAAATCTATTGGTCTCCAAAACAAAACAAAAAAACTCTTGAATGAGGTACTTTATTCAATTTCTTATACTTGCAGTTCCTTCAATAAAAGTTATATTTCTACTAGTAAATAGTTTAATGTTGTTGTTTATAAATATCTTCCAATTCATATTTTCTATCACGCAAGGTCATCGTCGTCATCGGTGTCTTTAATGATTCCTACCCTCCGGCCACAGTTTCGTACCTTGTTGATGACTTCCTCTTGCATTAAGTTAAAGCACATGGCGATCAATGCCATGCCAATCAATAGGTAAAGTGAACAGATGACCAATTTCTCTTGAGATCCCCGATCACTGACCACGGAGTCACCAGGTACCAGGTCACCAAACCCAATGGTGCTAAGGGTAACAAAACAGAAGTAGGACCCATCCAAAAAACCCCATCCCTCCCATAGAGAAAAGATCACTGCTCCTCCAGATATATAACTAACCATAATTACTAAACAAAGCGTGATAGGTACAGACACTCGAGGTTTCTGGTAGTCTAGGTCTTCATGGAGCTCGTTAGGGATAGCTTCAATTCTAACCTCGTCTTCAGGGTGGACGTGAAGCTTATCCTGAACACCGGGTTCTAGAGCATTCTGTCTACCAGGGGAGTTATGCGCAACGACATGCTGAACTCTGTAGTTTTCGACGTTTCTTCCTCTTCTGTAAGGATCACTGGGCTTACATGTGCACATCCTCCCATAGACGTACCTGAAAGACTTGGCGAGGATATCTCCTATGTTGGTCAAATAAAGCAACATCAACGGAATGCCCACAATGGCGTATACTATGGTCACCAGCTTTCCCCAGTTTGTTCTTGGTGCTATATTTCCGTAACCTGTAAAAATACATTATGTGATTAGTAATGAAATCTCTAAACATTAATAGAAGAAGCACACCTTTTATTGTCAACAGTTTTAGGACATGACAAAACAATAGTTTAAATATAATATATATATATATATATATATTTCCAATTTCTACTAGCTGTGATATTGAAGCGCATCTCCAAATATCATTTACATAGATTACGCTTTTGAGAAAGTGGTTAAAGCAACATCTGATGAACAAGTAACACGCGGCATTTTTGCATTCATAACTATACGCACACTGGTATGCAACGACCTAAAGTGAACAACAATATCAAAATAATTTTCTTTTTGTTAAGCACAGAGCTACACAATGTGCTGTCTGTGCTGCGTCTGCCACGGTTTTTAGCGCCGTGAGCCTTCAGACTCACCGCTGTACTTCTTGGGGGGGAGGCTTTTTATTTTGTCTTTGTTTCTAAAATTCACGCAAAGCTACACGAGAGCTACTTGAGCTTTTATTTTGATAAATTGGTAAATTAAATAGATTTTCTGGTAAAAGTTGTTGAATTCATATCCATATTAGTGATTTAAACAAACAGTTCTGCACCAACGAAAGATCGATTTGAATTTCTTGCTTTGGAATAGTTTATTTCGTCTATATTACAAAAACTAAAATTTAGAAGGAATAATTGTGTCAGGTAGCCAGACATAATTGAAAAAATCAAATCAAATTAGAATGAATGTGCTGCAAATAAAAATTGCTTATAAGGTGAAAAACTATAAGTTATGATATAAATATCAAATATATATACATAAGTATATTAATCCTCAAATTCAATCTTCCTGAAACAAACACAGTATAATCTGAAACCTGAACTATAAACATCAGTGAGATAAAGTACTTTTTATACGCCATAATGTGTCGAAGAGAAAACATTTTTCTGAGAGTCACATATTAAATGGTTTTGTATAAAATAAACGTTCATGGCAAAAATCATAGAGGCATACAGGAAAAATATATCCTGTTAATATTAGTAACAGTTATTTGTTTGTATCAATGAACGCCCCTGGCAACAGTCATGAGAGACATACAGGAAAAAAGTATCCTGTTAATGTTAGTAGCAGTTATCTTGTTGTATCAATGAACACTCCTGGTAACAGTCATGAGAGGCATACAGGAAAAAAGTATCTTGTTAATATTAATAGCTGTTATTTGTTTGTATCAATGAACGCTCCTGGCAACAGTCATGAGAGGCATAGAGAAGAATGTATCCTGTTATTATTCACAACAATTTATATTGGTATAGGGATGTTTTTTGTTTTTGTAAATATAAATTACAAAACAAAAACAACATGTTACCACTTTGCCATTTTAGGTAACACAATACAAAAGCTGTTTATAATACCTACGTGGTGATAGTAGTTTTATGAATTTCTACGTCTATGTTATACAAAATGTGGTTAACTTGCTGAAATAAAGGTCGAAGCGTCTAAGGTTCGAGACGTGTTGCCCCTGGATACGCTCCCCAATTTCATCTGTAGGTGGGCCCATTATAAAAATGACAGTACATCAATTTTTTATTCAAAAAACAGACAATGCTCTTGTGGCTATGGATGTGGCCAGTTAGCTGACCTTCCACTGGTCAGAATTTCACAATTAGGGATAGCTATTCATGATCCCTAGGAATCTCTAACCAGATTGCTCAGTCCACATGAGTACAAGGTGCCAATCATCTTGAAAATTTTTATTAATAACAAACCTTTTTCCATGTTATGGACTGTCGAGAAAGCTGTAAACAAGTAAACGAAGGCCCAAAACTGCAGATTAAATCATTTGTCAAAAAAAAAACTCAAGAAATGAATCTTTGCCAGTGAAAATCGAACTCAGGTTTTTATTCAGTTTTACAAAGATATCCCTTTGGGCAAACAGTATTCGTTTCACAAAAAATTACAAGATTATGAATAATAAACCACTCATAAATTTATTGAAAATAAGTTAGCATTATCACTAAAGTTTCTGCATTTAAAATCAATAACACCAAAATTATTAAGAATAAAATAATTTTCAAAAAGAAAGTGATTTTTTCGATTCGTTGGTCTAAATTCAGCCTGAAAGAGACAAATGTAAGCAATTGGTGCTTCTAATGTTTCTCGCTTTCAACAATTTGACGCAGCGCTTTTGGAAATGGAAAAACTACAGTCGAATATTTCACATCTAAAATTCACGAACGACTGAAACATTCAATATGTGAATATCAAGCTTGAATGGACTTCCCAGTCTAGTGGCAAGCCAGCTGTTTCACTGTTCAGTTTCCATCGAAACGGGAAAGGAAACAACAAAACCAGAACCCCCGATGCTGTTTAAGGTAATAAACTGAGCGTTCGAGATGAAACTTTTCTGCGCCTAGTTTGAAATGGATAAGTTTGGACGTAAGAGGACTTCAGACGGCAAATATATAGAACACCGTTTTATTTTACGACAAGGTATCAAATTGGAAATGGGTTTCTTAAATTCCTTTGGCATATCCCCAGATCATAACAAGACTTAATCCAACCTCATTGTCTTGTTTTCACTCTATTTAGGAAGAAATTACATGAAGACGAAATTGAAAAAGATATTCAATAACCCTTAACAACATGTTTCAAAATAATTCTGTAAGCAATTACGTACAAATTATCTTCCTAAATACGATGCTTTATTTTTCAATGCATAATTATATTTTAAGGCTTCAAAGTTAAAGTAGAAAAAAAACTTTTGGGTTTTGTCCTTGTCTCTGAAACATGAAATATGGCAATATTTTTTCTGTCTCTCAAACAATACTTTAACAATATTATGGTGCCAAGTATGTAATTTAATAAAAAAAGAACACTTTTTTGTACGGTGTATATTTTTCTAAATTGTTTCAAACTCACAATACCATTGAAAGTTGAGTAATACAAGGAGATTCGCTGTATTTTTCCTGTAACAAAAAATGCACCAATAAAGCGTGTTTTTTCACTTGATAGGTATAAAGAATGGAAACAAATCTAAAGTGATCCTGTATTCAAGATGAAAGGAGAAAAAAGTTGTAAAGAGATTATGATATTACATCACTAGGTCCCTAATTTAGCAGTGTAAGACTAGAGGGAAGGCAGCTAGTCATCATCACCCACCGCCAACTCTTGGACTACTCTTTTACCAACGAATAGTGAGATTGACCGTCATATTATAACGCCCCCACGGCTGAAAGGGCGAGCATGTTTGGTGGGACAGGAATTCGAACCCGCGACCCACACACTAGGATATTAGCAGATGAAAAAAACACAAACGTTTTTCAGACAGTTAAAAACCGTCAAAAGAAAAGACAACAGATTAAACAACTATGGTGTTATGTGTCAATGAAAAAAGGGAAATTTCAGAATACGTTTTCTAAGCTCCTAAGTAGAAACAACAGGCCCTTTGAGAAGCAGTCAAAACAGTCCGACTAGAAAGAGTCTTTCATCCTTAGATTCAAACATTGTCGCTAGATATGTAGGAAAACTGAGTGTGAGAAGAAAACCAACATTTTAGAAAGTATGTTCAGTTACCAGCCTCGTGACTTGTCAAATCTCTGATTAACACTCACTTAACGTATTGTAGCGCAAACTAAATGTATTTCGCTCTATGGTTATAAGTAAAGATGCAGTAGCATAAGCTAAATGTATTTAGCTCTATGGTTATAATTAAAGATGCAGTAGCATAAGCTAAGTGTTATTAGCTCTATGGTTATAAGGACGCATGTATTTAGCTCTATGGTTATATTTATGTATGCAATAGCGTACAGTTAACTTATTTAGCTCTATGATTTTCCCTACCCATGCAGAATAGTATATACCTTATGTACTTAGCTGTACGATTATCTGTACATAACAATATAAACATAATGTATTTTATTTGTTTTGTTTTTTTTGTGGCACGTCAACATTGTCATATTTACTTTATTTTTGTGACATGGCAACACTGTCATATGTACCTTGTTTTATACAATACCGGACAGTTAATCTCGGTATTCATTGTCTTGTTCTATTGCCGAAAAAAAAAACGCGCTCCGCACTTTCAAATCGTGTGTACGTTGAAAGAGCAACGATCCAATCTCACTGTTCGGTAAGATAAGAATATCCCAATGTTGGCGGAGGGTGTTGGTGACTAGTTGCCTTCACTCTAGTCTATTAGCTGAAAATTATAAAACGGCTACCTGAAAATAGCCCTTGTATGACTTTGAGTGCAGATTCTGAAAATAGGAAAATATCGCAAATATTATACATTCTTATACAACCTTTCGTACATGGACCTAGTCTAGCAACTTAAAAATCCCTAGAAAGAGAGCCACATTGTCTTATGTATATTAAAGTAGCAGCCCTAGACGTAGTTCACGTTATTGATATATTTTTCTTTAATAAAAAGTACTTTCTTTCCGGCCACGTTATCGTTTTTTGAAATACTCCGAGTTGAAACACTTTACAATATAGTTTACTTCCCAGCGATACAAGATGAAGAAAATAAGATTTACTTGGCTATCTATGAATTTTAAAACCATTAGTGTCGAGAGTATCGTAGAATAAATATTGGCAACAAGCGTATATATATGATCTTATCATAACAGTTGGCAGTCAAATGTCGTATCAGTTATTTCTTATCAACATGGAAAAATATCCAAAAAATCCTCTTTGTTTTATAGAGGAAAAGGGGATTTACAGAAACCAACCGAATTTCCAAACAAAAATATAATATTTTGTAATATAGTATGTTGTTGTTGTTGTTGTTGTTGTTTGAAATTAACCACAAAGCTACACAATGGGCTATCTGTGCTCTGCCCATCACGGGTATCGAAACCCGGATTCTAGCGTTATAAGTCCGCAGACATACTGCCGTGTCACTGGGGGGCATAATATAGTATGACCACATGAGATGTAAAATTACGAAATCAGTAAAACATTTGTTTGGGTAATAAAACCCAAACGAGTTAAATGTTGGCCCTTTTTGTATGTCACGCATTTGACCTCTATACAA